ATTAGCACCTCTAGTAATATATTTACTGAGAAAAATGGTGACGTGTTCAATAGTATACACATGGGGTGCAACAATACATGTACCCTTAAGGAACCATATATATGTATATACTGTATACTGTATATATATTTTTTGTTCATTTTGTTGTGATGTTGCTGATGTTCTAATAAGCCTAAATAGCTAGTGGAAATAAAAAAGCACAGTGGGAGTGGGGGGCTCACTAATATTGTAAGGAAGTGATCCCCCCACCCCACCCCTTGGTGGCACTTTTGTTCTCAACACATGTTGTGTGGTTGTGTGCACTAACAGGTCTCACAGGATCTAACAGTATTGTATGGAATAATGTTATTAATAAAGTTTGGCCAAAGCAGCTCTAACTGTTATAATCGTAGCTTTTGGGTGACACGCACTCTTTTATTTAATGCTACAACTTTTGATTTAAAAAGTCAAATTAAATTGTCTTAAAGCACATTTGTATTAAAGCATTAAAAATGTTTAAACAGAATGTAATTTATGGTTTTGTCTAAAAACTCGCAGAAAGGTTTTTGACCAAAAGCCAGCTTTTTTTTTCCAAGTGTTTAGTTTAGGTTTTATATCTTTAACTTTTTAATTAGATTAAAATTCAAGTGTAGATGTATTTCTCTCCTGAGTTTTGTGATTAATTTAGAGCATTACAAATCCCAAAATGCCATTTTGTTATTAAATTTTATTTTAGCATTAATAAAAATTGATTTTATTACATTAAAGACAGTCGTTACATTTCCCCTTGACTTTGACTTTTGTTTATTTATTTTTAAATGCATTTTTAATTGCACGACTCAGTCTTGGATTTTGCCTCCTCTGAGTAAAGCGGCAGGTCAAAGGTCAGCCTCACATGTGCCAAGGCGTTCCTCCAGAAAGCCAATCTGCTCGCTGAGGGAGTCGATGCGATCTAGTTGCTGGAAGGAGTGGGACAGCAAGGTGGTCTTCTCTGAAAATCCCTCCTCCACCGACTGCGGGAAGAAGCTGCTGAAGGGCTCCAACACCAACTGCAACTTCTGAACAGGACGAGGGGTCAGATTAACATTTCATCAAAGGTTAACAAAACAAAGTTTTATTGATTTTTGTCCAATAGGTATATCTGGGTCAGACAAATTTTTGATATATTTATAGAACTAAGTTAAGAGGTAATATTGAACAAATTAAACAGTTTTATTTTGAAGTTTATGTATGTAATGAGCAGATGACATTCTACGCAAANCTTTTGCGTTCCCACCCAATAGATTTTTTTCTTTTGCGTTCCCACGCAATAGATTTTTTTCTTTTGTGTTCCCACGCAATATATTTTTTTCTTTTGCGTTCCCACCCAATAGATTTTTTTTTTGCGTTCCCACGCAATAGATTTTTTTCTTTTGCGTTCCCACCCAATAGATTTTTTTCTTTTGCGTTCCCACGCAATAGATTTTTTTCTTTTGTGTTATTACATGGGAACACAATACCTTTTACGTTCCCACACAAAAGTCCTTTAACACTTTGTGTAACAGTTTATTAACAAATTCACATACTCACCATTAGCGAGTTAGCCTATTACTTTAATTCAGCTTCAGAATGAATATATCACACAGCCACACATGGAAGTATGTCATATGTTGATATTTTAACACAGTGCAGCCACACAACATCAATGTCAATTTTACGGAGCCTGCGAGGGTACACGGGAGGGGATTTTTTTTCCTTTTGCTTTCCCACACAATACGCAAAAGATTGTTTTGAATGTGAACTGAATTAAATCAGACTTTTATTTTTGAAATATCTGGTTACCAAAACAGGATGTGTCGCCACAAGTTCGTGAAATTGACATTGATGTTGCGTGGCTGTACTGTGTTAAAATATCAACATATGACATACTTCCATGTGTGGCTGTGTGATATGTTCATTCTGAAGCTGAATTAAGCAGTAGACTAACTCGCTAATGGTGAACATGTGCGTTCGCTAATAAACCGGCAGGCACAACAGTGATAAACTACTTTTGTGAGGGAACACAAAAGTATTGCGAGGTAACGCAATACTATTGCGTGGGAACGCAAAAGAAAAAAATATCTCCCATGTCCCCTCGCGGGCTCCGTACAATTTCACAAACTTGTGGCGAGACATCCTGTTTTGGTAACCGGATATTTCAAAATAAAAGTCTGATTTAATTCAGCTCATATACATTTTTTTTTTTGCGTGGGAACGCAAAACAATATTGCGAGGTAACACAAAAGTATTTTGTGGGAAAGCAAAACAATATTGCGAGGTAACACAAGTATTTTGTGGGAACGCAAAACAAAAAAATCCCCTCATGTCGCCTCGCGGGCTCCGTATAATTCTGACAAAAGAATTAGAAATAAAGGCTTCCCTTTAATAAAATCCAAATCAAAGTTGACTAAAAAGAGTTTGTTTTTCCTTCATCGGAAAAAAAAAATCAGGAAGTTTAATAACACACTGGTCAAATTTTTATGTCGAAAACAAAAGTAATTTTGCAGTTCAGTGTTGTTTAAAGATGGCAGAACAACTCCGTCCTGATGTCAGATCTCTGGAAGACGTCAACAGGTTTCCTCAAAGAACTTCTTCATATTTTGCTCTGTGCATCTTTCCTTCACCTCTGACCTGGACATTGCTGAATAAAAACATCCCCATGTTTTTTTAGCCAGCGCTTTTGAATCCTACTGCTGCCAGTGTTAAAGGCACAGTGTGTAGGATTTTGTCAAGTCTTTTAGCCAAAATTGAGATAATCACTCATGACAATAATAAAAAAAAACGTCTAATCATTGCAGACAAAGACCTTGTTTTATTATTTTTACCTTATAAAAAGCTGTTTATCTCTATGGTCGCAGGTCGCCATTACAGGCAGCCGCCATCTTGTCTACGAAGGCTCATGAAGGACAAACTGCAGTGGCAGCGTCAAAAACGGTTTTAGTTGTAATACTATAAATGTAATATTTG